TCAAATTTACACCCCCCGCTTCGTCCAGCCAGGTCTCTGTGATGCACGCCAGATCTGCCCGTTCATCCAGGAGTTGTTTTGCCATTGACAGATCTGGCATTTAACAGCACCACTTTCAATCCCGAGGGACCGCCAACCTGGTTACACCAACTTACCATATCAGGAGACCGATTTGGAGTTATTAATGTTGTTCCACGTTCCCTAGGCCGAATTGAAGGTCTCCCTTTCCCGTATCTCCCCTTCCCCACCACGACTTCTATGGGAGCTCCCCGGTTAACGGAAGCCTCTCCCTCCTCCATGACGCATTCAATATCCACAATAATAACCCAAGGATCATTATAGGCTGTTTGACCTATTACAGCTCCGATCTGCCATGGCTTTGCTTTCCAATCATTTCCCGTTCCTATTATGTTATGTTCGGGTCCCTCTGAGCTGTTCCATTCCCTCTGACCCACATATGCAATTAGCAACCAGATTAACAAATACCGGGAAGTGGATAGTGACATAAATAACAGCTGTTAAACACAATCAGGGTTTTGGGGGCTTGTGTCAACATACACTATAGAATGGCAATTAAAGTGCAGTGGCTTGACAATTAACCCCAAAATGCTTAATAGAGTGCGTCATGGAGGCCTAATTCAACACTAGATGTATCAACTCGATTAAAGTGCTAAAGATGGTTAAAAGTGCAACAATAATAATTTAAGGTGCTAATAAGTAAAGTGCTAAGATCACACAGTTGAAAAAGTACTCTGCACAACCACATCGAAGTTAGTCAGCACAGTTGAAAAGATGGTCACACAATCAGAAATAGTTAGCACCATCAAAGGAGGTCAACACACTTGAATGATCAGCACAATTTAAGACAATGATCAACACTATCGAGGATGGTCAATACACTCAAAAAATGGATTGCAAGTCAAAGACCAGCACGGCTAGATGGAGAAGATAAAACGCAAGTCAAAAATCAGCACGGTCAGATGGAATAGCAACGATCACCACAGTTTGTCCAAAATTGGATCAGTGAGATGCAAAGGTGGCGATAATTTGGTCACAGGTGGCCGACTCAGTCTTCCGGGAGGTGGTGGGTACCGGGCAACCACCGAAAGATAATGGCCAGATAGCTGTTAATTTAAAAACTGGCTCTATTATCTGTTGCCCGTCGGAGATGGAATTTCTTCAAGGGCCAGAGCGTTAGGGAAGATCAATTAAGGATTTGATAAAACAAATTGGCCCTCTAGGTGGCAGCAGCGTATCGAGGCCGGCGGGATGGAATCCAAAATGGCGGCACAATGCCGCCCCGCGGCGACCCAGCTGGAACCCAGCTGAAACAAGTTGGAACGTTCTATAGTAGATCTAAGGTGCTCTAGGCTAAAGTGCTATGGTAGATCTAGAGTGCTCTGGCTAAAGTGACATAGTAGTGGAACTAGTTCGAGAAAAGTTCTTGCCTACTTGGACTAGGCCACTTCTCAATCAAGGGTAGTCAGTTCAGATTTAGGGGACCGGCTTCTGAGGATCCGTGAAGGACAAACCGGTATCCCCTTGGCCAGGTTCCCGCCTCTTCCCGACCAGCCAATGGGTGGTGGCACTAATCACGAGCAAATGAGCAGATGGTATACTCATGCAAGAGGCAATGTCTGTTGGTCAATTGTTGGTCAATTCACGTCACCGTTGCTAAGAGCATTCAGAGCTGGAAGTCAGATGTTATTTATGCAGCAACACAATAGCAGCAACACAAGATTGGGTCTCAAGCAGCGACACAACTGGGCTTCTACGGCTTCTTCCAAGCAGCAACACAGCGATGGGTCAGAGCTACTCAACAAAAAGGGCCCTCCTCCAGCCGAAATCTCCTTCTTATCTCCTTCCAGGTTTTGTCGTAATTATATTGGTAAAGTTTACTATTTTTGTTACTTAGCCATAGTCC